AAAATACGGAGCAAAAGCAATATTGAGAAATTCAAATTATGAAACTGGAGCGAAATACCTCAGTTGTACATTTTCTGTAAATAATTAGAGCAGTAAATAAAAATTCGTGCAAATTAGTTGCCATAACTTCGAGTAAAGAAAAGGTTGTCAGATAATAACCAAATATTGCAAGTTATAATAAAACTTTTACACTTATACCAAAAATTTGCTTCTTACACAAGTATGCCTACTGTTCGAAGAATTTAAATACCTCGAAAAAGCCAAAAAGCTTTCTTAATAAAGAAAACAAAAAAAAATTGATAAGAATAAGCAAGTAAAGAACATAAAACAAGTCAAAAATAGTCGATATCGGGGCATAATTATATTAATGGTTTTTTCCAGGGAGTTGCTAATGAGAGATCCAGGGAATATCCCCTTCCCATCCTTTTAATTATTAAAAACAATAAGCAAATTAGCAAGAGCTAAGTTCGGGTATAACTGAACACTTTATACTCGTTTAAAGCCAGCGAAATACCTTCAAGAACATAAGGTTTGTTAATTATATGACATCTATAGCACAAATATGCACCGCCATAAAAAAAACACGCTCTCATCTTGGTCGATATATTAGGTTGTCAAAAAGTTTTGCGGTATTTTCGCTAGTTGCTGCTGAGAGCGCGTAGTTCTAGTTTTGTTCGTCGCATCGGGTCATGCCATACCTGTTTGGAAAGCTCATTTCACGCGCTCATACATGTTTAATTGATTGTCGTTTCTTTTAAGTCGTTCGTGAGTTATAGCGTTGCAAACATGGAGCAAAAAATAGAAAATATGGCATATTTAACAGTACTAGTACGATAAAGGCAAAAATGCATCTCAAGCTGGAAATAAAATTTGTGCAGTTTTGCCCGATACAGTTTCCATTTCCACCGCACAACGATGGTTTCCACGTTTTCGTTCTGGTGTAGAGCTGGTCGAAAATGCGTCACGCTCCGGAAGGCCTGTCGTCGAAAATTGCGATAAAATCGCTGAAATGGTCGAAAGAAACCAGCATATTAGCAGCCGTAGCATCGGTCAAGAGCTGGGCATGAGTCATCAAACCGTTACAAACCATTTGAAGAAGCTTGGAGTCACTAAGAAGCTCAATGTATGGGTGCCACACGAATTGACGCAAAAAAACATCTTTGACCGTATCGAYGCATGCGAATCGCTTCTGAATCGCAACAAAATCGACCCGTTTTTGAAGCGTATGGTGACTGGCGACGAAAAGTGGGTCACTTACGATAACGTAAGGCGGAAACCGTAGTGGTCGAAAAGCGGTGAAGCAACCCAGATGGTGGCCAAGCCTGGATTGACGGCCAGGAAGGTTCTTCTGTGTGTTTGGTGGGATTGGCAGGGAATAATCCACTATGAGCTGCTCCCCTATGGACAATCACGCACCAGCGAACAAAACGGCGCATATTTGCCTTGAATCGCATTATTATAACCAATTTTATGAACAATTGAAAATTCAATAAAAATACCGCAAGACTTTTTTGCGGCAAAAAGATAAACGGAAGTTCGACAGTCTTTATATTAGGTATATGGGGATAAAGATGGTATTGACCCTATTCGGTAAAAAGTCAACTATAGGTACTGAGGTATAAATATCTAGGGGTTTGAATCGTTTTCGTTGGATTTGGACAATTTTTGACCGTAAGGTGGCATACTCTATTATATAATTTGCTTCTTGATTAGTACACTCGCTATAAGAGAATCAGAAGAAATTGTATTATATGGGAAGCAGGCTTGGCTGAAGTCTGTAGTTACACTGTAACATAAAAATGTCAGAGGTCTATCACATACCAAATTTGGTTCAAATCGGTCGGGCGGGTCTCGAGTATATGATTTCATATTTATATTTTCACACCGGCTTCATTAAAGGGCGGGGCCAAGCCCACATTTTCAAACTTTTTGCTTACAGATGCCTCTTGATACTGGGGTCCTGTGCCAAAATAGAGTTTTATATCTTAATTTAGTGCTTAGTTTTCGGTTAATGGCAGTTTGTGGGTGGTTCGATTACGCCCATCCAGAACGTCGTGCTTTTCTTTTTATTATCGTTTCGTCATCCCGATCTTTCATATATACGTATCTATCTTACTTGTATTAAGGTGATATGTATAACCGTTAGGAGAACAAAATTATTAAACTATAGCAATATGTTGCAAGATTATAAAACTGTATTTGGTACATAGATGTGAAGTAGTTCTAATCAGCAGTTTTATTATTGTTGTGAAAACAGAAAATAAAATATACTATATTTTCCTGTCCTAGATCAAATAGGTATAGACTTTTTGAAGCAATAAAATCGTCCACAGTTTATGTCTTATATTTAAAGTTCGGTTGACTATCCTCTGTATTTTACTGAAAGAATTTTATACTATTAATGGTCATTTGATTACTCATCTCACGTACAAATTTCGTACGTAGTACCATCGGTTAAGATACGTTTGAAAAGCCTAAGCTGATACAACCGTACTATCGAATAAGAGATATCCTATCAGAACATATGGCATATTTTCACACATATTGGGTACCAATACCAAATATAGTAATCCGGATATACATACTAATATAACTTTCTCATTCGATAAAATTTTACCCGGACTGACCAATTTCACCTAATAATACAAGTACGAAGCATGTTGCATCGAATTTTCCATACAAGCATCGGGTGAGATGCCCTTCTGTTTCTTTAGCTAATCTAGTATTTTTCAATTGTGGCCATTTGCATAGATTATTGAACACTTTCGACGCCATATTTATAAATTCACGTCTCGTAGCTAGTCACCATGTATTTAATGAATGTAAGATTCTCAACTTGTTTATCAATCATCCTTACCTACTTGACGTCGTTATTGCAAAAGAATCAAGTTCAGTCGATCCTTAAGACATGGTGAGATCCTCTGCTATCTCTCTGATGCCAACACGATGATTTTCAATTACTGCCTCGTCATTAACAGATGTGGTTAGACGACTAGCATGAAGCAAGTTTTCAATGGTTTCACGACCTTCACTGCAATGTTGATTATAAAGAGTCTACCGCCAAGAAATTCATCATGTTAAAATGACATAAAATACTGAAATTTGGTCAAAATGGCTTTTTGATATGAACAAATGGTCACCACGACTCCGTTGGCATAACTCCTATCTATATTAGGACGATAAACATGATGTGGCGCACCGTTGTTGGAAATAAAGATAGTCTTCGTTGATTTTATTAAATTTCGGGAATCAAAAAAGTTTCTACATTATCTTAAAACACTCGCTACTGATGGCGATGTCATTCCGAAAGAAATAAGTTCCATTAATGCCGCCATACTACAATCCGCACAAAAAAGTAAATTTTTGGAGATGCAATTACGCTTCCAGAACCAAAAAAAAAAAAAAAATCTACTCACCCCTTCTGAATTTGTGATTCTTTCGGAGAACGTGAGTTAACATAATAATCTTGCGCAATTCCCAAGCGTTCTATCAAAGTAAAAAAGGGATTTGATGAAATGGCAAACCTTACTGACCCCACAATTTTACACAAATCCTTAAGGGGTCTGTAGGGTAATATGTTTTTAATTTTCTGTTTTTTTTTTTTTGCCTTTTCTGTTCCCTCATACCCTTAGAATAATATTACCGCTCGGCGTTCGGAGCGTTCGGCGTGCCTCACCTCAGGCTTTAAATGCATTTTTCTCAAAACACACTGATTCCGGTCGAACTACTCAACCAATTTGCAAAAACAAAAAAACTGTAAAAAAAACACACCAGATTACCCTACTCTCTTAAACAAGCATGTCAAAATCAGGCCATCCCTATTGATAGACGCTGTATTAACCAAAAAGTATTAAAGGTATATCAACGGTATTCAAGAAATATTAATAATTCTCAGACGTGGGCTTCTTCCTATGTTATCCCTTTTCGCTGTATGACGCCAATTGGAGATGCTAAGGTCCTCCTCTGCCTGGTCTTTCCAACAGAGTGGAGGTCTTCCTCTTTCTCTGCTTCCCCCGTTGGGCACTGCGTCGAATTATTTTAAAGATCAAGGGTGTTTTCATCCATTCGGACGACATAATCTAGCCAGCGTAATCATTCTATCGACTGCGGAACTTTTCTCTCGAAAACTCGTAGCACAGACTTATCAGATGGTGTCACAACGGGGATGATAAGTGACCTATAGAGCTTGGTCTTTGTTCGTCGAGAGTTCTTTATTTCTCAGTTGCCTACTCAGTGTGAGGAAGCACCTGTTGGTGTTATGCTGTTTCCAATTTAGACAAAATTATCTACGACTTCGAAGTTACGATTATTAACATTGATGTGCGAGCCAAGGCGACAGCTTGTTTGATGACATTTGCTTCGCTTCTTAGTCAGTCTGGAAAAACTAGAACTAACGGCGCAATTCTTGATGCCAATGTCATCAACACCAGCAGTTGTCCACTCTTATAGAAGATGGTCTCTATTTAGTTCTGCAGCTCAAATTATTTTCTCCAGGAGTAGATCGAAGAAGTCGCACGAAAGCGAGTCGCCTTGTCTTAAACCTCGTTTGGTATCAAACGGCTCGGAGAGATCCTTCCCGATCTTGACGATCTTGACGAAGCTTTTCGTATTACTCAACGTCAGTTTACACAACCGAATTAATTGTAGTTTTGCGGGGATACTAAATTGAGACATTGCGTCATAAAGGTAACTTCTTCATGCAACTATGCAACATCCAACCATTGCTTCTATTCGTAGTTCATCTAAAATAATGTCTCAATGCCGATACAATGAGGTCGAAAGCTTTTTGAAAGTGATGATGATTTTTTGCCGTTTCTTTTGAGTTGAACCTCCCACACAATGCCACCTTTCACTTTGTACTACTTTTGTAGCATTTCGTAAGCGTAAACACAGTCGGTTTCAATTATATAACAAATTCGTTTATTATTTACTAAAACTTCATATACATTAAAATTAATTAAAAAACGTAAAACAAAATCAAACAATTTTTTTAACGCGTATGTATGTATGTTTTGCGTATGTGTAGGTATGTTGAGTGCATTTAAAGTTTAACATGTGCTGTATGTTGACGCGTATGAGTGTGTGTGTGAATGGAAAAATTATGAACAGGGTTCTATTTTCCTCCATTCTTGCTTTTGGTGACTATTATGCTAAATATGTTTGTGGAATTTTACTAGTTGTTGGAGCACTCCGGTGCTCCGGCTTACTGTTTAACAACCAACACCGTTTACTTCTTCTTCAGGAAGAAGCGGTTGCTGGGTGGTCCATAGCTGGACGATGGCAAGTGTGTTGGCTCTTCCACCACGATGGGTGCCATGGGTTCCGGAGCCAAGTACTGATTGCTGGGCGCCTGGACGGTGGGCTGTGGCTGCTCGCCGGCAGCGAAGGGCAATGCAGTTGGCAAGCCGTAGGCATCGGCGGGCAAATCGTTTACGAACTGTGGCTGTTGGTCGTGCGATTGCGGTTGCTCCGACTCCAAGGCAGGCTGAATGGTAGTGAGTGGCGCAGTGAGATCAGCAGCGAACTCATCAGCTGCAGGAGCGTCGTACTCGGCAGCAGGCAAATCAGCATGACGAGGATCCATATCGCCAGCGATAAAGTTGTTGTTGCCATTGCCATTGGTGTTATCATTTTGCTGTTGTGGTGGTGGTCCATAGACGGGAGCTTCATCTTTCTTAGTCTTGTACTTGATGAAGTAAACTTCCGGTTTGGAGGGTTTGGTTGGTGCCGCTGTAGGTATAACAATATCCTTGGTTGCCTCGGGTTTCTTGTGCAACACATAGATGAGTGTCTTCTCTTCATTTTGTGGTGGTGGTGGCACAACTGGTGGGCGAATGGATGGTGGTGCTGGCGCCTTAATGAAAACGATTTTGTAGTGCTTTTGCTTGGCTGCTGGGGCATGACGCACGCGTGTCTCGATCACATCCTCATCCTCGAAGTCCTTGGGTGGCACATGCACGTACACATGCTTGTGCACGGTGGTCGGCTGTGGTGCATAAGGGTAACCGCCCTCCTGAGCTATGCTCGACTGTTGGTAGGCAGCATTGTAGGAGTCTTGCTGGTCGAGTGGCAGTGGTTGAACCGCCTGGTATTGCTGCTGATTAACATCTTCGGGGCCGGCTGCTTCGGCTGGCTGCTCAATGTTGTTCAATGCGGGCTCACCGGCGAGCGGTGTGCCATAAGTGGTCGGTGGAGGTGCGACGAAGTTGCCAAAGGCATGCTCGGAGGGCAGCTGCTGATGCAGTGAGGCGGGATCTGGAAGAGAGAGTGTTGAAGATTAGCGACTGTAGGAGCAGTTGGGAGCGAATTTCAAAACTTGTAATGGTATTTTTTAAATTTTGTGGTTTAGATTGAGCTTTTATTTGAAAAGGTGAGATATTTTATGCAATATTGTTAAATCGGTTTTCATTTTGAAAAACACATGATCCGTTATTTGTCCAAACAATTATTTTTAAAATCTCTTTGCATTTAAAAATATTCAACAAAATTTAAAAATCAATTATTTTAAAAATCAGTGTTCAAAAGTATTAAAATTATATTTGTTTACTTTTTATTTAATAAAACGTTTGTTTAAAGAGTTAAAAAATTCCAATATATAAAAAATTCATTTGAGATTTTTGCAGATTTCAATTTTTCTAATTCTTGAATAAATATTTTTCGCAATTTATGGACTCTTTTGACTATTTATATTATAAAAATAAAAATATTTAAAAAATTTATTTTGACTTCAGAACCGAGGTTTCGTTCTGATTTAATTTTTAATTTTATATAGTTCACTAAATTCAAACTTATACATTTTCATAAAAAGCCAATCAATCAATAAAATTTTTGAAATTAATTTTTCGATATGGCAACTCTGTTTTCGAAAACAATTTCTAAAAATCATTTATATTTTCCAGCTTTGAGCAGTACTATCGAGTTAATTTTTATATCCTTCGACTTATTTGAAACATAATCTCGAATTGGATTTATTTGATTCACTCTTCAAGAGAAATATTTTTTTCCAAACTTTGTTTCGTTTATTATATTTTTTCTGCTCAAAAATATTATATGTTTTCAAATTTTTGGGTTTATATTTTAATTTATTATTCCGTCACTAACTCTGCAGTAATCCATTGTAGGTGTAACCTACAAGCGGCGCCTCAGGACGCGCCAAAGCGCCCGCAATCAAGCAGCTCACTAACACAAATACACGCATTATGCACAATAAACAAAAACACAAACAAATTAAAGGCTACAAATCCTTTAAAGAAAAATTTCAAAGTATTCCAAACTGTATAACACTGCCGCTTTATCCACCGGAAGCGTGCACTCTATAGCGGTAAAGGAAGCTTTGTAGGGAAGAGCAAGTCACGAACTGATGCCAAACCAACGGCTACAACTGTAATTTATATGATTCCAAAAAACTGATGCGCATTGCAACAATTGACGTTCGACCATTAACACTTGAAACTCATGCAAGGCAACTGCAGAAACAACAACAACAATTGCCAACAACTACAGAAGAAACAAAAAAACCAAAAAGTCAAAAATTGAAAAGATCGAAAAAAACCCAAAAGTAACGAAATTTCGAACTTTTGCCTTAACTAAAATGCCATTAAAATTTGTAATTGAACTTTGGCGATACAGCGAAGCACAAAAGCGATCGGACAACAAGCAATGCATGGCAACAACAACGAGCCGAACGAAATGAAGAGCAACTTGAAAGAGCCAAGAAGCGAAGAAAGAGCGAAGATTTGACTTGGTGAACGCAGCAGCAATTAACAACAACAACAACTAAAATTGTGAGTAAGTAGCACAAAAAACTACAATAATTATTATAATTAACGAGGATAAACACATATGTGCCTATATGTATGTATAAATATACAAAATATTGCTCGTGTGTCATTAAAAAGGCAACAAAGCAGCAAAGACATATTTAAGGAGGTTCACCTATTTATTATTTCGTGCATACATACACATGCACTCATCCAGCTTCGTTTTTGGCTGCAAAGCCGAGCAACGTGGAAAAAATTTGTTATTCATGTTGACTTGTTGAGTGTCAAAAAGCCTTCGCTCGAGTGCGGTGCTTCCAGCAAGAGATACGTGATGATCTACAACAATAACAGCTGTGGTAAACTGCTGTACAACAAGTTAACTGGAGCTCTTTTCATATTAAACCAATGTTAAGTTGCATACAAGAGGCACAAACGTTGTTAGTACTTTGGGCTACAACTTCATTGCGGGCAATTGCCACTTGAATCGAAACAGAAAGTCATCTATGAATATACAGACACACATTTCATAGTGTGTGTACAAAGCTATGACTAAGCGTTGTCAAATTATTTAATGTTGTTTATGTATAAATAAATTAATCTAATTCTGAATTACACATAAGATCTCTAAATTTGCCTTCACAACTGAGAACATACTCTTAGTATTTAAAACAGTCAACATAAGGGCATTCACACACTCCTTAAGGCGCTACACTCCTACTTAGTGAGTTATGCTTCTCCTGTCATGGCAATTTGTACTCAAGAAACTAGTTAATGTACCGAAAATATTCTTATTCTTCTTTATTGGCGTAGACACCGCTTACGCGGTTATTGCCGAGCATACAACAGTGCTCTAGTCAATCTTACTTTTCGCTGTATGGCGCCAATTGGAGATCCCAAGTGTAGCCATGTTCGTTTCCACCTGGTCTTTCCAACGGATTGGAGGTTTTCCTTTTCCCCTGCTTCCTCCGGCGTGTACTGCGTACTCTCAGTACTGAAGAGTTTGCATCGATTCCGTCAACATGACCTGGCCAACGTAGCCGCAATCTCTTAATTCGCTGAACTTCATCAATGTCATCGTATATCTCGAACAGCTCATCATTCCATCGATTGCTAAATTCGCCGTTGACACTGTGCAAAGGACCATAAATCCTCCGCAGAACCTTTCTCTCGAAAACTCGCAACACCGACATCATCAGCTGTTGTCATCGTCCATGCCTCTGCATCATATAGCAGGACGGGGATGATGAAGGACTTATAGAGTTTGGTCTTTGGTCTTTATTCGTCGAAAGAGGACTTTACTTCTCTATTGCCAACTCAATCGCAATGAACACCTGTTGGCAAGAGTTATTCTGCGTTGGATTTCGAGGCAGTCGTTGTTGTTGATGTTAATGCTGGTTCCAATATGGCCGAAATTGTCTACATCTTCGAAGTTATGACTGTCAATTCTAACGTGGGAGCCAAGGCGCGATTGCGATGACTGCTTGTTTGATAACAGGAGATATTTCATCTTTTCCCATTTCCTTCGCTCCTTTATCAAGTCCAGAGAAAGCAGAACCAACGGCGTGGTTGTTATAGCCAATCGTCGTACGCCAACAGTTGTCTTAAAAACAGAAGGATTTGTTTGCATTTATAAAAACGAACGGACATCTCTAAACCGACTCAGCTCATTGTGAAACTCCGACATTTTCTTCTGTGTGTAACAACACTTCGATGTAAATTAAATATTTCAACATACATACACCTCAAAATTTAAAAGATTTGCTTTCGAATGAGCTTATTAAAAAATAATTATTAATTATAGTGTATTAGTCACAAAAAAGTTAAAATAATAGGTTGTCAAAAAAGTCTTGCAGTATTTTTATTGAATTTTCAATTGTTCATAAAATTGGTTACAATAATGCGATTCAAGTCAAATATGCGCCAACTTCATAATGCCCGTCTCATAGAAGCTCTCTTCCCCATTGGCAAAAAACTCGGAGAGCCAATTTTCACAGGACWCTCTTGTGGCCAACTTCAGACTACCAAGCGCGTTCGCCATGGACAGAAACAGGTGGTAATCACTTGGTGCGAGATCCGGACTATACSGTGGATGCAAAAGAACCTCCCATCCGAGCTCCCGGAGCTTCTGGCGCATCACTAAAGATGTGTGTGGCCTGGCGTTGTCCTGATGGAAGACAATTCGGCCTCTGTTGATCAAAGATGGCCTCTTCTGCATGAGTGCTGCCTTCAAATGGTCCAGTTGTTGGCAGTACAGCTCCGAATTGAGCGTTTGGCCATAGGGGAGCAGCTCATAGTGGATTATTCCCTGCCAATCCCACCAAACACACAGAAGAACCTTCCCGGCCGTCGATCCAGGCTTGGCTACCGTCTGGGTCGCTTCACCGCTTTTTGACCACGACCGTTTGCGCTTACGTTATCGTAAGTGACCCACTTTTCATCGCCAGTCACCATACGCTTCAAACACGGATCGATTTTGTTGCGTCAATTCATCGCGCTTCTTAGTGACTCCAAGCTTTTTCAAATGGTTTATAACGGTTTAATGACTCATGCCAGCTCTTGGCCGATGCTACGGCTGCTACTATGCGGTCTCTTTAGACCAATTCAGCGATTTTATCACAATTTTCGACGACAGGCCGGAGCGTGGCGCATCTTCGACCACCTCTACACCAGAACGAAAACGTTGAAACCATCGTTGTGGGGTGGAAATGGAAACTGTATCGGGTCCATAAACTGCACAAATTTTATTGGCGACTTGAGATGCATTTTTGCCTTTATCGTACTATAGTACTATAAAGTATGTACTATAAAATATGCCGTATTTTCTCTTTATTTTGCTCCATGTTTGCGACACTATAACTCACGAACGACTTAAAAGAAATGATGATCAATCAAATTTCCAAAAATTCCTTGTGAAATTAGTAAGTTTTTGGATGGCAGCTTTCTAAAGAGCGACTGCGCGGAGGTAAAAACATATATTAGTGAAACTTTTGACACATTTTTCTCGAAACGACATTTTTCAAAATTCCTGACATCATAACTCAACGAGAAATTAACTGATCGAAATGAATACTGTTGAATACATGTACTATGCAATGACGTATGATCTTTTTGATTGGTCCAAAATGGCAATTTGACATTAAAAAAACGACAATTTTTTCCGTAGAAGAAACGATTTTTTTTTTTTTTCAAAATTACGCCACTTTTTTAATTTTTGATATTTTTCAAAGATCGTAGGGCATTGTATAGACAATATCTTTAAGTTTAATAAACTTTTTGAGTTTTTTTGTCTCTGCTACTCATTCGGATGGAATCATGTCAGCAGTTGGGGCACCTCCGAAGACGGCACATAACTCCGTTGTTTTTCAACATTTTTGTAGGAAATATCTTAAAGTATAGCAGAAAATATGTCTTATTACGTTCAAAGAAGTTCGGAACATTCAATCGAGTACGAGCCACCGCCCATATTCTGAGATATGTTATTATTATATAATTAGAGGGAAATGTGTATTTGAGAATAATACACCCTTGTGTCAAAAATGGGCCGAGTAGAGTCAATAACCGTAACCCCTATGAATCTTATATAATGATTTTCGAAATTCGGTACGGTTTAATGAAATTGAAAGTGCGTTTTTTCACAATAACTGTGTATCTTTGTGCCTAAAGTGGATGAAATCGGCTGAAAACTTGCTCTAACCCCAAATAGCTGATAGCCTTGACAGACGACAGCTCTAATTTGCATTACCGGGTTTAATTTGCATTAACTTACGCATTTGATCCCTGTTAATGCAAATTAGTAAAGTACACAAATTTCATGCATTTAGCTGAAATTACCAAGTAGGCAACACTGCCTAAAAATGGTCGATTTTTGCTATTTTCTGACAGATTTTGCTTGAAGTCTGCTGCCTCCTTTGCGTTTACAGTATCCGAGGTACGTAGTTTTTATATTGCTAATTAAATTATGTGCCAGTATATTAACAAAAAGAAATTTTAATATTTTTAGATATCAGAAAATAAATCACGCACAGTTTGCTATCTATTTTTCCAATATTCCTAACATTTTCGCACACTTTTTTGAGTTACAATCAAGTACCGCTTTTAATTACATTTTGTTTTTAATAATAAACGAATTTTTCCGTTAAATTTATATTAATTTCCCAAAATTTCCATTAATAATTTCCTCTTATCCATTTTTATTTCACTTGCTTTTTAATAAATAAACAAGTTTCACAATCAGCTGTTTAAATGCACAATTCTGCTGTCTCTCACCATAAAGTTTTAATGCGCATTGGCATTTCTTAACGGTGCATCTTGACAAACTAAAGCTTATGGCATACTAACTGTCAAATCTATTGCCATTGCCGTTGCTAAATCTGTATGCGAGCGTTTGTTATCATAACATAATCATTTGCGTAGGTTCTAGCTGATGTAGCGCATGTTTTGAGGTATTTTTATAATTTAACACAACCGTCTTGGCGGCGGTATATGTGTAAATAGGATGTGTTGCATCTTCGAAATTTTCATAGAAATGAAAACTGATCTCTCACACTGCTGAAGTTACAGTTCATTGCTTT